TGTATTTGATTGTGTTTATCTGCAGTTAGTTACACGAATTCATATATGGAGCTTTAATAAKTTGTACCTACGCACAATTTACTTGTAATCTTGAGTTTTAAGTAATATGCATTAATAAACAGTATTTTACGCATAAAAAAGTGGTTTTTAAGAGTTTTGTCAAATGATTTATAATATAGAATATATTTTTTTTATAATTTAATTTAAGTTTAATAATAAAACAATTTATTTTTTGTTTAATTTTATAAATTTTATAAAAATAATAATTAAGTATTCTGTTATAATTTAATGATTATACTAATTATATTTTAGATTTTTTATATTTAAAATGAGATGTTTTATCATGTATTTGATTGTGTTTATCTGCAGTTAGTTACACGAATTCAGATATGGGATGAAATCGGAAAGGGATTAAATTGTTTAGGGATGAACGGGTTTAAGAGTTTTTAAGAGTTTTAGTCAAATGTTTTATAAGATAGTATAGATTACATCAATGTACTTTCAAATTATTTTTTATCAGGGCATCGTACTTTAAAAAATTTAACCAGTATAACGATGAATAACCTGTTACCTTTTAAATTGGTTAAACTTTTTACTTTTTTTTTGTTTGCTTGGCTTCAATAAGATGATCTGGATGACGTATCAATTTAAAGATATAGCTAAAATAAAAAACAAAACTTATTTCAAATAATTATTGATGGTCATTGGATCTGTTCGGTTCGTTTTTATTGGATGGTGGACCACCATCCAATAACTAATCGATATGATTAGGATGTTGAAATTTTAGATCCGATCCAATCTTACTACAATGGGATATATGATTTTGATCGATTGGTTGTAATTGGATCAGTCAGTTTAAATTGGGTCAGATGGTTTTTTGCACACTCATACTTTGCACCATCAAATCGTACAAAACCTAAATCCCACGATTTTCTAATTTTGAGTGCTTCACTTGATTGATTCACTTATTTCTTACTCTACGACTTCACTTTTCAATTCCTCACATTAGTCATGTTGTTTATACAAGAATGATAGATGAAACTCTCAACCAATCAGTGAATATCTGTCATTACTGAATCATGTATTATATCATGCTATATTATGTGTGTGTATATATATATAGGGTATATTTCTTTTACAACCTTGTGCATTTGTACAACCTTTGCAACCCAATTAATTGAGATATTTATAGAAATGATTGGAGTTCATTTATTATGATTTGAATATTTATGGAATATGAATAGAGTTTATTAATTATGATTAATACTTTATATTAGGAAACAATCAATTGATTAAAAATTGAATGGTTGAGATGAGGGTTGTATAGGGTGTAGGAATGGCAAAGGGTGTAGAATAACGTCCTTATATATATGTTCAAGTTCCAACATGTTTGATTATTATATTTAGGCTATGTTTTGCAAACTAGATGACAAGTAAGCGTATGGTTGGCAAGCTAACTGGTAGATGAGTTGATGACTAATAAGCGAGTTGATAAAAAATGTTTGGCAAAAAATAGCTTATAAACATGTAAAATGACCAAAAAAATGACATTTTGGAAAATTAATCGATTACAGTATTTCATAAATAAACTAAAACAAATCTCAAAAAATATAATATCTTAATTAATACCCTAAAAAATATAAAAAATAAATAATATAATATATTGATTAAAAAAATTTCAAATTGATTATTATATATTAT